CTGATCTTTACAACAATCCTATTAGGTACATAGTACAATTATTACTATTTTATAAATGCACAAACAGAGATATAGCGAATTTTTAAAAAATGACCAAAGTTACACATTTAGTAAACAGCAGAACTGATTGTGCAATCCAGCCAGCATTGCTCCAGACTATGGTACTACACTACCCTGCATTACAAAGCACTTGTACCAACAGCACAGCACACACAAGCTCTGAAATCCTTCCATTTCACTCATCAATTTATTCCTCTTGATGTGCTTCTGTATATGTTGTTCTACGGAAATGTGTTAATCCCCTCTCAAGGAACTCCTACCTCTCCTCCGAGGCAGTACCAATGTCTCCTTCTTTATGGAATCTGATCTAACTCTCCAAAGCAGGGACTGGCTCCCTTCCATTGTTTTATGAACTTTGAGAATTTCTTCCCACTGTATTAAGTACTTATATTTAGAGAGATATATAGTTTGAGCCCAGCGTGAGACATTTAGTGATACCCTAAAAATAAAAATGGGCTATGTACCCCCATGCCTAGCACCTTCTTTCACCTCCAAGGCACAACACTCCCATCTGTCTCCATAGTCATATCTCCTGTCTCTAGCTTTGACTTGCTTTCCTACTATAAGGATCCTGGAGGTCATATTAATGGATCCACCCAGATAATTCAGAAAAATGTCCACTTCTAAAGACCATTAATTTAGTCGTATGTGCAGACCCTTTTTGCCATGGTAGGCAACATTTATAGGTTCTGGGGTCACAGACATCTTTGGTGAGCCATTATTCTGTCTAGCACACCTATGCTTCCAGAATCGATAGTTACTCTATTGTTTAAATAAATTTGAAATTACTAGGCTTGTCAATAAGTCCTAGGTATACAATAATATGGCAATAGAAAAAAATATGATAATATAATTTTCTGAGTCTCTCAAAAGACAAATTCCTTGATGTTATCATTCTAGGCAGCTAAATTAGATAAAAATTAACATACTGTCAGAGAGGGACTGGGGTGGGCCCCAAGAATTCAGCACAAAAAATGGAGACTTCAGAACTGTGGCTAGAGACAAATCTAAAGAGAGCCAAACCTCAGGATGGAGATGCAATAACCAGGCCTGCAAGGTGAACAGCAATTTGAGATTATGCTGTAATCAGCACCACCTGGTCCAGCGGGCCTAGCTAGGTATCAGCCTCATAGGTGAGTGACCAGAACCTCTGGACCCATACTTCCCTCCCTCCCCAAAATGCCTTTGTTCTTTCCATGTATCCTTGCTATGTGACTCATTTTCCTATTGGATCTACATTAGCTAAGTGGCTATACCTGTAATCCTAGAGGTTGACTGTAGTCTGACCCATGTCATACTCCCATTGTGATTTTGCTATATAAATTACCCCAACAAAGGGCCTCAGTGACCACTCATTCGGGAGCTGTCCTGAAAAACCAGGAGCTATTCTTGTTCCCCTTATTTCCAATGAAATACTTTAACTTCCTCCTTTGGTTTGCAACTTCGTTCCTTGATGTTGTGAGACCATGAAATCGGTACATTTGACATCTAATAGGACTGGAGTTATATTTTTCCTATATCATTATGAACTGAATGTTGAACTCCCCAAACTCACATATTGAAGCTCTAATCCCCAGTGTGGTTGTATTTGAAGGTGGAGATACAAAGGGAATAATGCAAATTAAAAGACAGTAACTAAAGTTAAACTAAAGGTTAGGCCATCACCTGATGGAATTAGTACCTATTTATTTATTTACCTATTGATTTTGTGGTACTAGAGACTAAACCTTGGACCTTCACACAGGGAGCTACATTCCCTGTCTTTTGAAATTTATTTATTTTGAAACAGTATCTCACTAAGTCGCCAGGGTGGATTTGAACTTGTGTCTCCGTCTTCTGCCTCAGTCTCCCAGAGTGCTGGAATTCTGGGCATGTGCCATCATACCCAGCTGGATCAATATCTTTTCAAGAAGAGACACTAGGAGGCTCATTCTTGTTCTCTTGGTGAATACACAGAGGTTAAGTCATGTGCACACACAGCTACAAGCCAAGAGAAAAAAACCTCAGAATAAAACCTACCCTGCCACTATCTTGATTTTGGACTTTCCCACCTCCAAAACTGTGAAAAATAAGTTTCTGTTGTTTATATCAGCCAGCCTGTAACATTTAGCTATGCCAACCTATGCTAAGACATTTGATAATATTAAAAGATGTTACTATGACAGACATATGTGCCTGACAAACACAGAGAGTCAATATCCAGTATGTTACAATATCCAATAACATATTATCGCTGTCACACTCCCACTACACAGGGTGTGCAGTTGGTACTCTGAGGCTGCAGACAGGCATGTCCCCAAGAAGCAGAGGGTGCTGTGAGGGAGGCCTTGAGATTCCTACAGCAGAGAAAGCACCAGCTTTCCATGTCAACTTTAGACTCCTCTTAGGTACGCATGTATTTTTTCATTGAAGCTCTTAGCTTCTAAAACCCAGCACTGCCTTTTTCACTTTGCCTTGATCCTGAAAGCTGGAGATTTGCCACCAACAATGAGCCCACCGGCAGAGAGATGTGAGTGTGGAAAAATGGCTCTCTGCCTCTGAACATTGCCAGGAAGTAACTTCTCCGCAGTAACTCCTCCTCTGGGACTGACCCACTGTGGCCTGGGCCTCTTTGCCTTCCCTGCTTTGACTTCCCCAACCATCTCCTTTCCCTGTCTCCCTAGGCATCTACCCAGAGTGCATCATGGGCATGAGTCATCTTCTCAAGGTAGCTTCTGGGGAACACGGTCTTAGAACCCTTCCACATTAAACCTGAAAAGGGGCCTTTTTAACAAAATATATTCATTTTTTCACATTAAAGAAAGTAATTGAGGTGTCTAGTCCAAACATGCACCCCAGTGGCCCATGCCCAGAGTAATCACATTCTGTGACTGACTGAGTGAGGCTGAAGTGAGATTAAGCCATTTCAGTAAAATAACTGGAAAATTCCACTCTCACTCTTATAATATATTTCTACATTAGAAGCCCTGAAATGCCAGGTAGGAAGTCTGGCTGCCTGCTGGGGAAGCCACATGGGAAAAAGGGATCCTGCAACCCACAGAAAAGACGAGAAAGAATGGATGTGGGGTCACCATGACCAGTCAAACTCAGCTTTCCAGCCATCCCCACCAAGATGGCAGACACCTGAGTGGTCCCTAGTGATGTACTGGCACTGCATCCTAACCAAGTGCTCAGATGACTACAGTCCCCGCCCACACCATGTGAGAGGAAGGCAACAAGCTGAGTGCCAGCAACGCACAGAATTATGAATCATGCTAAAATAGTTATTGGTTTAAGCCACTAGGTTTTGGTACAGTTTGTTACACAACAATAGACAATCAAAACATAAATGTGTTCTGTGTAAACAAGACAAAAACAAAAATATAATGATACACAAAATATAAAAAAAACTCAAAATGATCCATAATCCCCAACCCAGGATACAGGCTCTGTTAACATTTTATTGCATTTCCTCCTAGTATTTTTCCCAGGTGTACATTTTCCCACATGAACATGATGATACCACATACACAGGCCATAGCCTGCTTTTTCTCCACTTGGCAGTTTATTGTGAACATTTTCCAGTATCTTTATAATTTTTAAATATGCATAATTTAGGGGCTATGTTGCTTTCTCATATGGATATCCATTATGTATTCAAATATTGTCTTAAAGCTCAAATAGCATCCTTACACTGAAACCTTTGTTGTATCTGGGATTACACCCTCAGATTCTTAGAAGCAGAATTAGCAAGCAAAATACATACATTGTTCATAGTTCTAGAGGCACACTTTCAAGCTACTTTCCAGGAAACTTGTGACAATGTGCCTTTTATGAATGAGAGGGATAATCTCTTTATGCCCCCAGAAGCAATAGCCAGAATTAAGATGAGTTGGGCTTTTATCTTTATCAGTTTGAAAGACCAAAAGAAGGTATTTTTGTTTTCTTTTGCATTTTTTTATTATTTATATCATATTTATATTATTTATATTATATTAATATTATTTATATTATTGAGGCTGGACATGTTTTAAACTTTTAATAAGCAATGGTAGTGCATTGTCTGAATTCTTATCCTTTCCTGCTTCCCTTTATAAGTTTTAGTTCTCATTTATTAATTTGTATCAGTTTTTAAAAACATACACATGTATAATAAGGTATTAAATTTCTTCTAGAGTATGAAAATGTTACTCTTCAATTTGTTATTTCATTTTTATTTTTTTTCAAGCAATTACAGTAAATATACATGCTACATTGTAGGTAGGTAAAATAAAACTATCAACATTTTTATGAGAAATTAAACTTGTTCTCTTGTCCTACATAAAATGAGTTTCCTACTTTACTGGGCTTCCTACACAAAGCCTGGGCAACTTTTCCTCCCTACCTAAAACAACAAAAAATTCACACATTCATGAACACTGGGAGTTCCAAGTTTAAACAATGGATGACTATTTTACACAAGCTGTGAGGTTAAACACTTCACTGAGAAAACTCTATTTTGTAGAGGGCTTGGATTATCCAGATTTGAGGCAGAAAATCTGTTGCCAAATACCCAAGGGCCATGCTGAGTTTCCGAGTACACATGAGTTAGCCAGCTCAGGCTCTGCCTGCTGACTGAAGAAAAACTTCACATTAAGTCACTGATCTCCACGATCATCAATGTCAAGTGCTAACCACACACAGCTCAGTAACGAAGGCCTCTGCCTCCCTGAAACAAATGGCTCTCAACCAGGAGCAATTATGTCCAGCACAGGACATTGAACAGTGATATTTTGGGGTTTCTGGGGAGGCCTGTTAGAGGCATCCAGGGGTTGAAGTTGGGGATGTTGCTAAGCACCCTATAATGCATAGCACAGCCCCTCCTCTCCACAATAAAGAATCATCTAGCCCTAAATATCAACAATGCCAAGATGGAGAACTATTCTACACCAACACACAGGCATAAAAGAACAATTTCTTACCTCTCCTGTATAATTATATTTGCCTTTCAGAATCTTCCTGTAAAGCTCTGTATGGCTTTCGTCATCAAAAGGCAGAGATCCACTAAGTAAAACATAGGTGATTACACCCAGAGCCCACATGTCCACAGCACTGGTATAAGGTTTCCTTAGCAAAACTTCAGGGGCTATGTACTCTGGGGTCCCACGGAGCATCCTTATCATCCAGTCGCCATTTGTGTTCCCAGAGTGTGCAAACCCAAAATCTGTGATTAAAATTTTGGACTCTGCACCTGGATGATAGTATAAGAGATTTTCAGGCTTTAGGTCTCTGTGTGTTATTCGCAAAGCATGCAAATATCTAATCCCATCAGCAACCATGCAGAGGATTCTGACAGCATCCCGCTCCGTGAAGGATCCCTGGACAATAAGTCTCTCTAGAAGCTCCCCTCCAGTAGCCAGCTCCATCACCAGGTAAACTCGGTCCTGGGCCTCAAAGATCTCCATGAGCTGCACAATATAAGGGTGACTAACCCGTCTGAGGACATGGAGCTCAGCCTCACACTCTTCTCGGCCTTCTCTCAATCTGGTTTCCATCACTTTTATTGCAAAAGGTTTCCTGGTACTCTCTGCTCCACCCTGACAACCTTGCTGAAACTGCCTGTCCCAATGAGAGCCTGGACGTCATATCTGTTGGGAAGAAAAAATAAAATTGCTATCCTCTGAAGTGATGATTCTCAAAATTATTGAAGTCTATGCTTTGTATCATCTTGTCCATCCTCATTTTCCACCACCAGTTTTCTTGCTTTTTATTGCTTGTGTCTATTTTTGAAGGCACACCAAAATCCTCTTTTGAAATGCAAGCAAATGATGTAAAGGTAATTAGTTGGTAGAAAGATCAACTAATTATTATAATTCATAATAATAGCTACTGCATATTCTGTATTTATTATGTTCTAGGAATGTTAGTTTTTTCAAAAATCTTATCCTTACTAAAATCCTGATAAATGATATAATATCCCCATTTTTCAGACAACTAAATAAAGCTAAAAATATAAGTAAGAGGGGTTGAAGAGGAGGATGGGAAAAAAGAAGAATCAAGATATATCATGTACAGACACAAATTCCCTATGATGAATGTTGTCATTATGTGTATCTAAAACATACCAATAAATGTTCTACTTCAAAAAATATAAGTAAACAATTTCCCAAGTTCCCACAGATTATAGTTGAGATCAATAGAATTCAAGTCCAATCATTTCAAATGTGTTTCATGAAACTTTTCTTCAAGAATTTCAGGACTTCCCACTACTCCTTTCTTCCTCCAACACTTGTCTTTAGCATTCTTCAACAGTATTAACCAAAGCACGTAGAGAGATTAAAAATGAAGCTTTATTCTAACTTCTGAAAAGAGGAAGGATACCATTTTGGGGTACAAATAAGGTGATACTTTGGGTTTTCTGATGTGAGCTTAGTCCCAGGAACACTTCATCCATGGTAGCTCTTGTTACAGAAAGACAGCCTGGCTGTGCTGTGGTCACAGCAGATTTTACAAATCTGGTAGGAAGTGTCAGAGCACCCATGGCCAGAGGTCCCCCCTCCCACCCCATCCCACCCTCTTGCATTTGCAATATGTAAACAGTAAAATAGTTCTAACATCAATGTCTAAACCTACTGTCTTACAAAAATGCCAGGAAATCAGTTCAGATTTCAAAGGCTAGAGAATCTTAATTTGAATTTTCTGTGAAAACTTCTACATAAAGTTAAGATTCCTATCAAGTTTAGCCCTCTATCGTTATGGAAATGTTGAGAAAGTGCTAGACTTAAAATCCTTATTTTACAACTGGAAACAATATTGAAGGATTATTTAATCCGAAGTTTCATTGTATGGATGAAAAAATTTTTTAAAATTAAAAAACAGGTTAGCCAATTTGTTGTTTAAATCATAGTCAGGATTAGAAACCAGATTTTCTTACTTGTCCTATAATTTAGTGTTCTTTGCAATTTATGAAAATCTCCTCCAAGGAAGAATGCTAGAGGAGGGAATACACCCAGAGGGTAACCAGAAAGAAGGTAATTCTACAAATTACATACTCAGTAACAAAGTTTCAAATGCAAATATCAATGTGCTTTAAACAGCCTTTTTTCTTTTTTTTGAGTTTATTCTTCCTGTAATTTTAATTTTTGGCTATATATTTCTGCCTTATATTCCTCTACTTACTGAATAAAAGTGACATTTGGCTGTACCAGCTTACAGAAAATAGCTTTGTTCACTACAGTGCATTTAATTTTCTGGCCAATTACCTTATCAAAACAGATAGCAATTTAGTAATCTTAAATAGATTCTTTTTCCTCTTCGCAGTCCAACTCTGCTTTTTCATTCCTGTGCACTCCCAGTGTGATTTGGAAGATAATCACAAGCATTGCAAATCTTATTGCTTTTCAGACCAACTAAGTTTTACATTTTCTCTAATACGGATGAAAGCACTTTGCAAATACTAATTTATCGCTATTCCCTCAGAACTGCAAGCAAACTCATTTGCTCACAAAATCAACCATCAGCTATCAAACTACCTTTTTTGAAGAACTACTCTCTTTTGCTCAAATAAAAGAGGCTTTATCCAATATTGTTAAGTAGATCTTCACATACAAAATATTTGGAAAAAATGCTAGTAATATGGCATTGGAAGAAGCAGTAAGCTTCAAGCCAAGACTTACAGTAATGGAAACAAATGGTTTCACATTAACAACCTGAGGCCATGTGCTGTGACAATTTCCTGTAACTGCAGCCTTGCTTGAGAGTCCCTTCAGACCATGAATGCTGACCATCTGTGACTCTGACCTTGTGTGGTGCATAGCAGAGGTGGCAGCAATAACTGTTGAATAAAAGAATCAGTCCCTGAATACATATTATTCCCAAATCATCATGTATATTCTAAAACATTAAGTAAGGATGGAGTCAAGCAGGGAAGAATCCAGTTACAAGTTCTTTCCAGTTCCTCTACTTCCATTAGTCCATCCCACCTCCTACACAGCAAACTCCACTTGTAGGTGGTACAATTTCACATGATTCCAGAGATTGTGTAAACTGAAAATATTACTTTAACCTCAGCTGCTACTGCTATAACCAGGGTATTTTCAAACACAATTTTTTTTTTTAAAAATGAAACATGGAAACAACTGTAATGAACCCCCTCAAAGAAAGTGAATACTGTCAGATTTGAATTCTAACATTCTTATTTTGCAAGAGTTGTAAATGGAATCACAAAGGGAAGCAAAGACACCTGTGTTCTAAGGCCTAAGTCTCCCACTAACTTGGACAAATCACTTAACCTCCTGGGGCTCAACTTTTCATGAGTCAGAGGAGCTCTGAGTTAGTCTCTGAAGCCCTTAACGTTGAGATACCTTTGCATTCCAAGGGCTGGGACCATCTTGGGGTGGTGGTTACACAGGTGGATAAAGACAGGACCAGAGTAGTATCATCTCTCTGACTACAGATGACCAGAGCTGCCATTTGGCCAACTCAGCCTTGACAGGACCACAGATCCACTCCATTCCAATTCAGTCAGGCCGGCTAGCTTTGCTCTTCTGAAGCTTGGCAGTCACTGGACTGATCCTCCAGCCATCACTGTACTTCAAATTTTCTAGGAAGACAGGAAGTGGCTCTGCATAGACTCTGGGCAGAGCATTGTGATAAAGTGAGTGCATAATTCCAGGACTAGAAGTACCTGAGAAGCCCGCTGGGCCATCCCTCACTGTGTCTCATCAAACACTGCAGAGATCCAACATGGCACAGGCTGAGGAATTCAGTTCGCAGGCCAATGAATCTGCAGTCTTTGTTTATGTCTCACAGAAGGCCAGCTAGGTCTTATACTTCACAAAGACAGTTACAAGCACTACACTAATATTTACTGAAAAAAATTTACACATATTACTTTAATTATCCTCACAATGGGATTGATATACTATTCCCATGTTACAGAGGCAGAAACTGAGGAAGAAGAAAGGCTAAGGAACACTCCAATAGCATATGATAGAAGACATGGGGGTGAATCTTAAGTCTGGAGGACTCAAATGCCCCTTCTGATTCCACTAACTACAATGACACTTTACAATTTGGCAGAGGATTCCTGCAAATCAATTCTAGTTGGACACAGCTCCAGGCAGGGATGGCAGTGAGCACGCAGGCAAGCGCGCGCGCGCGCACACACACACACACACACACACACACACACACACACACACTTACTTCTGTGGCTCCTCTTGCTCTTCTTTTCCCCATCGCCCACACTCCCTGCCCAGAGATGCCAAAGAGAAATTACACTGGAAATTACATTACTGAAAACAGCAAACCCCCCTGGATTGCAGACTATGGCAGTCCAGGTCCCAACTACCGCGAGAGGAGAGACGAGGAACGCAAATCCCATAAAAAGAGCAAGAGAAGGTTCGTGCGCTGGAGTGGGCCGGTGCAAAGGCGATTGGGCCCTCAGTGCTTGCTGGTTGATTCTAACAGGAGTCGGGCTCCTAAAGTATAAATTTATATCTCAAAGGGGCAGCAAGAGAATTTAGGGGAGTCCAGGCCTCCAACCCAACCTGGAAGGCACCTGTGTGAAGCGTAGGCAAACTGGAAGGGGCCCTGAGCCGGGCTTGGTCCCAGGTTTCTCTCTCTCCACTCAGCCCCGGCCAGTCCCTCCTCGCGCAGCCCGCTTTACCTGGCAAGGACCCGCTGGTGGAACCTGGCTCGGAAGTGAGCCAGCTGAATGCTCTGAGCCGCCTGGGCCGCTGCCTCAGGCCCGGGACCCGGGCGGCCTTGGCCGTGGCCCTTTCGCTGGACGCTGGCCGGCGCGGGCAGCTCAGGCACCACCTTCCTGCTGCCCCCGCAGCCCATCCCGGCCGCACCCGCCGCCTCCCGGCCGGACTGGAGGGGCGGGACGCACGACTGCCCCGGCCGGGATGACCCCCTGCGGGCCTGGATCAGGGAGCTTTGATCTCCTGGGGCGACTTACCACGTGTGGTTAAAGCAAAGGGTTGACAAGAAAAGCCCTTTTCTCGTCCCCAAATTGAGGACGTGAAGATATAAAATATGATTCAATAAAGGATGTGGCCCCTCTGAAGAACTTTTGTCTTCGCGGCTCATCTCATATCCAGATGATATATATTTCTTATTTGAAAAATTATCACATAAAAGAGTGCCATTAACCCCCTCAAAATACTCTTCCTCACTTCCAACACACTTATCCCATCGTCCTTACCACTCTCTGAAGCAGTTCTGGAAGTCTTCTTTCCTAGTGTCTTTAGTTGCACTATGCTGGCTGCCTCAGTATCCTTAGTAGATTCAAAATGTTCCTCTTTCATGGTCATTTTTACTCTGAGGAAGAGCCAGCAGTCACAGGAAAACAGATTAGGTGAATAAGGTAGGAAAAGACACACCATAATGTTCTTACAAACCTGCCTTTCCCTTGGATAGCACTGGGCAGCAGCACCCACTTTTTTTTTTTAAATCAGACTTTGTAAAGAAACTCAAGAAAGAAAACTTCTAGAATTGTTTCAGAAAGTAGCAAGAAAGACAGGATAAGTGTATTCAAAGTGAAGGGGATTATCACAGGGGGGAATTATTGGCAATGTGTCTTTTACTATAATAATTTTTAAAAATAATCATTCATCATATATTTTGATCACCCCTTGTATTTTTTATGTACATATATGTGTGTGTTTACTTCTAAGACGTTATAATTTAAAAATATATCACAGTACTGTAGTGCAATACTTAAACAGTCGTCACTGGCCTGTCTGACACCACACTAATCCACTTATGCCTGGAGGAGAAATGACCTTCATCTCTGAGTAATCCTTCTGAGATAGAAAAAAATAGATGTCCAGAACTCAGACAAATACCCTAGGCAAATACAAGAATCAAAATGTGTTTTTAAAATTATATGTATGTTTTATAATCTTATATTTTAGTATATTCCATCCATGCTTTTATATATATAAATAGGTATGTGCTATGAGAGTTGTATATACATGTAATATGTGCAATATGTTTATAAACATCATTTTGATAAGTTTTATATACTTATGTTAGTATATTGTTTAGATATTGACATTGATTAATTATACATAATATTATATATATATAGGCCAAGCACATGTGGGCAGATTATAGCACCCAAGATGGAGGATATATGGTCTTTCAATTATGTCATTTCCTTTCTGATTGTATTTAATTTCAAGCTTTGTTTAACAGAAAATTTGCATCATGGGTAAATTAGTCATAAGTTCCCAGAAGAGCTGTATTTTGGAGGAAAATTCAAACTATGCCTTAGGTATAGCCAAAAGAATATGAATTCATCCTGCAACATGAGCATGATACCAAGTAAAGAACTTTGCTTAGTTAAGAGCCCTCAGAATTCTCCAAGTACCAGAAGACAGAGAAGGATGGTTTTAAGAAGGTGAACAACTGGTTCTTTTACATCTCAAGTTTTTTAACTAGTTTGCAGAACAGGCCAAGTAAGTAGAATGGAAAAGTGAGGGAAAGGGAACAAAGAAGTTGAGAATCAAGGTGCTGCTTAAAGATCTGTATCTGTTCCTCAGAATGCTGGGAGGAAGGATTGCTTTGGCAAATGTCACCCAATAAGAAGCATCCACTATAAACCCTAAGCCCATGCAGCAGTGAAGAGATCTGATAATTCCACAAGGCAGATAGTCCCTGCATGCATCTGGTTTCTCCAAAAGCAAGCTGCTTGTCTAGGTTGCAGAAACTTCTCATGCCCTGGCCACACGGCAGAAAAATCTTTGCCAAGAGTCTCCCCTTAAGCTTGAACCATGCTTCTTGAAAACTATTTAATACCGTCAGTGATTTAAAACCCTTTAAAAATGAAAACATTAATAGAACTACTGATTAGTGCTCTTTTGGAAAACACCAACTATTAACTGGAATTGTTGATAATATAAATTCTGTACTCGAAGATAACAGTTAACTTCCTGTACATTTGAAAATTGTGCTTTCAAGGACTTTCACCAAGCCTTGTTTGTTTGACTGGTTGGTTGGTTGGTTGGTTGGTTGGTTTTCAGTGATGGGGGTAGAACAGAGGACTTCAGGCAGATCAAGCAAGTGCTCTACTACTGAGCCACACTCCCAGCCCTCACCAAGTTTATAGAAAAAGAATATGAAATATGAAAAGAATCATACATGTATTTTTTGTAGCCCAACTCTTTCTGAGAAGGAATAATTTATATATTATTAGATGAAAAAAAATAAATCTTTAATGTGCAGAATATTATTCTAATAATCCTCTCTCCTGCATGCATTTCTTTTCATTGTGCCTCGATTTATGAAAAGCCACTCAAGCATTGTTTGGGACCACTTACACTCACTCTTAAATTAACTATTCAGAGTCATTGAAACCATATATTTTAACCTAATTAAAGTGATAAAGGTGTCAAAATGACCTTTAGACTCAAGGTCAGTTTTCAAAGAACTTTTATTTTTACATGGATGTGTTTAGTGTGTATAAGGGGGTTCCTGTAACACACCAGCTGAATAAATGGAAATGGTATTTAGCACTTGGTTCTGTGAACTTATTCTAGTGGTGTTTTTCTTTGTTTGTTTGTTTGTTTGTTGGAAGAAAAACTTAATAGACAGAAGCTTCAGATTCTAACAAAAAAGTCATACCTCAGCTGTCATTAATTGCTCCAACAAATTCTTACTTAGGGGTGACATTCATGACAACATAGCACAGTGCTCCAATCATCTGGTCCCAGCCTCCACCCTTCACCAGTTTTTAAAAATCAGAGCTAGAAGGGCACATTAAGTCCAACAATATATCTTAGGCAGTAAAGCCATAAAAGTTTCCTAGAAAAAAAAAAGTTTCCTAGAATAACTGTCTGCATAGTGTTTCACAAATTGATCTAATTAAATAATTTGATTTGGGAAAAATACACTATACAAAGCATAATCCAACCCAACAGTGTATTCTACTGAAAGGATTTAAGGAATTATGCTAAATCAAAAATTCATTAAAGACTTACACTATAGTTTAGGAAAACCTCATTTTTCTGTTTCATGACCAATATTGATGGAAAACATGAAAAAACTTATAAGCATTTATATACTCTTCCAAAGTCACTCTCTATTATACTTCAGGAAAGGAAAGAGAGCGAGGCAAGTAATTCGGGGAAGCCCAGGGAGTGATAAACTCAGAAGCTCTACAATGTTATATGTACTCCTATATCCTAAAACTAAAAAGATACAACCAAAAGACATTTTTTAATAGGTAACATGAAGAATTTCCTTCATTTAGAAGTAGTTCCTCTTTGAATAGCTGCACTGTTGTTGATTTTCGTGTGTTGGCTCTCTTCAGAGCCCTCCCTGCTGGGTTTAATTTTCTCTAAAGTGATCTCCTGCCTTTGAAGGTGCTCATCTTATAGACTTTCTTTTCCCCAAGGTGTAGGATTTGTGTTTGTAATGACAACTAGCATGGGGCTCTTTTAAGCCAATTTCACATGCACCATGATGTGTGGAACCAACAGTGCCAACGTGTTCTTTCTATAAACAAATAATAATAGCCTCTAAGTAGGACATCTTAGTGTGAAATTCAGAGATGACAGGAACTTTTCTGCTATTCTAACACCTTACAAAAATAGGACCATAATAATTCAGACAGGTAAGTAATGCTTTATTCAGTTATTGAAAATATTTTCCTTTGCCACACTAGTAAATAACCAATGTTAAATTGCATATATTTACATGTAGCACTAAAAAAGAATTTGGGGCTGAGGCTATAGATCAATAGTAGAGCTCTTGCCTAGCATATGTGAAGCCATAGGTTCAATTAATTCCCAGTATTACAAATAAATAGCTTTTGCAGAATTTCAAGTTTTATAGTTACTTTTTCTTATAAAGACAAAAAGATAAATATAATATATAGTTATAGGGTGTAAGTAAAAGTCACTGCTACCTAGTAAAAATGCAAATTTCATTTTTTAATAATACTGACTCAAATCACCAGATAAGGTAATGAATGAAATTTCTCAGTTTTAGTGCATAAGTTAAAAAAGATAAAATGAAAGTATTTCACTATATTTTGGCTGATTTGCCTAAAGGATTTCTGCCTTTTCAAGTTGGCAATTTGCATCCAAAAATCTTTAAAAACTGAAGGATAGAAATATGTCTAGTTACAATCTTGGAAGCTAAGCAGGGTCGGGCCTGGTTAGTACTTGGATGGAAGAAATATGTCTAGTTACATAAAAAAATATTCACAATATGTTACTGGGAGAAAAAATGGAAATTCATATAGCATGATCTCAGTTTCAAAGTCACCAATGCAGTAAGTTCCAATGGTGAGGAAAGGAGAATTGCAGCTCACAGTAAGCAAGGAACTGAGACTTGCTGACAACTGTGCACCTGAACAGGGGGAATAGGTTCTCAACCCTAGAAAAGCACCAGGATGGCTCTGGCACTGACCCATAGCCTGACAGCAACCTCCGGAGAACTGAGTTCTGAAAGTAGACTTCCTGAGTTCAAGTCCTGGTGAGAACACTTGCTGGCTTTCTAACCTTAGAGAAGGTACTTTACCTCTCTGTTCCCCTACCCTATTTTATTATTTCTGAAATTAAAATAATAATAAGAATACAAACATCATAGAGTTCTTGTGAATAACTTAATTCATGTGAAGCACTTAGAACAGTATATATGTAGAAAAAAATAAATTGTCAATAACTATTAGCTTATGCACACATGTAGCTTTAAAGGGTTGTATTGGTTACCTACCACTGCATAACAATTTTCCCCAAATGTAGAAGCTTTAACAACAAATATCTATTTTCTTCGTATTTTCTGAAAACCAAGGATCTAGGAGGGTGGATCTGGCTCAGGATCTGAGGAGGGTG